CCCACACAGGGTAAAAGAGGTGTTCTTACTCTTCAGGATTTTTCTGTGCAGGCAGGTGCAGACAATATAACAGGCTATTGAGCTTTGCCTCATAATAGTAATACAGGCAGTCCCCGGGTTACGTACAAGATAGGGACTGTAGGTTTGTTCTTAAGTTGAATCTGTATGTAAGTCGGAACTGGCGTCCAGATTCAGCCGCTGCTCCGTGGCTTTGCTCTGCTTTGCTCCCCGTCTCCCTGGTCTGCAGACCAGGGGGACGAGGAGCAAAGCGGCGGAACATGCGGGCAGCAGACAGCCCAGACACGTCTGGGCTGTCCGCTGCCCGCGTGCTCCGCCGCCTTGCTTCCCCCAAGCATCCCCAAGTCAGCTGCTGCTGAAACTGATCAGCGGCTGATTCCAGGAAGCCCGGGGCTGTCCGCTGCCCGCGTGCTCCACCGCTTTGCTTCCTCTCCCTGGTCTGCTGGAGACCAGGGAGACGGGCCCCGTTCGTAACTGCGGATCCGACATAAGTCGGATCCGCGTAACTCGGGGACTGCCTGTACATAGCTGTTGATCTCAAAATGCTCTTAAAGGGAGGCGAGAGTCATTGTGCCCATTTTACAAATGGGAATCAGAAGCACAGAGGATGAAGTGACTTGCCCAAAGTCAGCCATTAGGCCCATAGCCTGTGAGCTATGGTCCAGTGTCCTTCTCCGTTAGACCATCCTGCTTCCCACATAGTGAGGGTTAATTTAATTTGTGTTTGTAAAGTGTTTTATAATTCACGGTTACTTCTCACTTTGGGCTCAATCCTGCTCTCGCTGCGATCGATGGGAGCGTTTCCGTTGATGTCAGTGGGCACAGGATCATGTATGTAACAGGACAATATTAATAGCATTTTTTAAAGGTGGGCCTGTCAATATGGCTTTACTTAAAACACAACAAATGGTCTGGTAGCAATTTATAGACTAACAAAACATGTAGATGGTATCATGAGCTTTTGTGGGCACAGCCCACTTCTTCAGATGATCAGAGTCTCACAATTTATTTGTTTAAACAACCCTTATAATGCATAGAATGTTTAACTGCTTTAAAAGAGTAACTAAAACAGGGATTACATATTTATTTGTTTGCTTTATTGTAAACATTCCATTCCAGCTATCTGCACTACCAAGCATTTTAATGTCTCTCCAGGCATTTGGAACACAGTCATCACTTTGGTATACCAGTGCCTGAGAATTAGAAATGGAAACTCACTAGAAACAAAAATGAAAATGACCAGTTAGTTGTCACAGCCCAGATTATGGTGCCAAAAGTAACTGTGCAGACAAGAGAATCTTTCTATTGCATATTTAAGTTCTCTTATCTGCCATGGGGATATCTGTGTTGTGGTTCACTTCCCCACAGCATGATTCTTTTGTGTTCCTGTGATCTCTTATCCCCGAGGAAGATCTCTACTGCCGACTCAGTGGTTGAGACATCTGATATGTATTGCAGAAAGGATAATTTCCCCCTTATTCTTGAAAAGAACATTTTTATTCTTTTGTGTTTACTATATCATTAGAAGTGCTCACAAAGAGGTGGGTATTCTCCAAAATCTCCAGTTCCTTGACCTTTAAAACTTACTGTAGGAAGACAAAACATTGGAGCTGTGATAAAGGAGATGTTGTTTAGCACAATGTAATCATCAAATAGAAAAACAGGAAAAATGGAGAAGAAAAAGGTTGTGGCATTTTTGTCCTTTGGCAATTTAAAGGGATAGTCGATTTAAAAATCTTGTATTGGAAACAAAATTCCTTTTCTATAGTTATTTAGATTATTAAAACAAAGAATAATAAAAAAATAAATTTTATCTTCACTCGTAACTTTGTGCCCTTTTCTAAGCGTGTACGATGAGTTCTCATGAAATCAGTTTCATATTTGTTTATAAATAGATTTACTTTCAGGTTCTCAGTAATGTAATGTTTTATTTTAAGTCACTGGAAAAAAAATGTATTCCTCCCCATTTCTTCTTTTGTCAAAAACTGCATTTTGAAGGGCCTTTGACAAATAGTTTGGGTATTGGAAAGAGTCCAAATGTGTTGCTTTGACCATTTTAAAATGTTTTATGTTCTCAAAATTTGTCCAGTTAAAAAAATCCCACACAGATAAGGATGAAAAACACTAGAAACTGCCAAATTCACATTAAAAAAAAAAGTTTTGAGTCAACTCAAAAGGTTTTGGTCGATTCTTTTAGTTTGTAAATTTTTCATTTCAAATTGATCCAGAATTATTTTGTTGTGGTTTGGTATGTTATAGTAATTTAGATGAAATCTATGCGGGCAAAAGGCGTTAACCCAGTCAGTGTCCAACATTAAACAGTGTTTGACAAGGTCCAGAGTTTGATATGTAGAGGCCACAGCATGCTTTGTGCCATGACAAACACACCATTAAATATTCATTTAACCTGGTATTAATGATACAGAAAAGGAAAAACAATTAAAACATTTAAAATGTAAGGCAGTAAGTAAGACTTTAATTTTAACAACATGTGTCCTTTTTTCTGGAAAGAGTTTTAGAAGGAAAAACTCCCTAGTTGGAGAATCTCATAGATATTATCAAAGATAGTAATAATTGTCCTATTGGGAAAAGAGAAGAAGTTAGCTAAGATGGGCTGTAGCTGTTGTTTTTGCTGCTATTGTTTGAAGTCCAGTTCTGTTTAATCGCAGGTGATGTTTGGGTTCAGCTGAAGCTGGTAGGTGTGGTGATGTCATCTGCCTCTCTCTTTCTTTAGAACAGTCTGGTTAGGACATCCCTAAGGATTAGGAAATGAAAGCCAGGGTCCCAAAAAATGGGAGTATAAAATTGGCAGCCATGATAGTGATGATGCAGTAGCCTCTTTCTCTCTCTGTTCTTCCTCTTCATCTATTTTTCAATATTCTTTCCCCCACTTACATGTATCTTTCTTTGAAGATCCACAATGGAAGTGGTGGCCAGAATAGCCAATCACATCATTATTTTATCCACCAGTAAGGCCTGATATCTGACACTCTAATTTTGGTTCACTGATTTCTAGTTCCACATCTGTTTTTTTTTTCTATTTAACCGAGTATGATTTCAACATAGTCTTTGAATTATATCAACATGACTTTTTTTCGCTTGGAGTAATTGGATCTCTTTGTCTGGTTCTTTTGCACCTGTTTATTAACATTCATTATGGAAAGAAACTTGACTTACTTTTTATTAACATTTGTCATAGATTATGACAACATTTACAAACTTTTATAGACTTTCTACAATTCAACTCACAACTAAGCAAAATTTTTAAATCCTATATATATATATATACTCTCTGAACCAAAAAGTCCATTATTCACTTAGGTCTAATAAATAGTGCCTTTTACCCGGTTTCTAGTTTACAGGATATGTAACAAATGGAGGGTTTTATCAACAAGATTCATATATTTGGAAAAAAACACATTGGCTACGTCTAGATTGCATCCCTTTTTCAGAAAAGGGTTGCAAATTAGATGTAGCCATTGAGGTTTTCCTGAGACATAAGAATTAGCTAGCAACCAGATATAGCTTTTATTCCGGGGAATCACTGCATATTATGGCTACTGGGTGATAAAAGAGAAGTTTACTGTTTTGAGAACATAGCAACCCTTATTTGTTGTTTGTTGCAAGTAATACAACTTTAGAATGTTCACTGACCAATCCAAATCCTTTTAGAATGTTCACCAGCCAATACAAACTCACCCTCATCTCACAAACAATTTTTCAGAAATTCTGTTCATCCGAGGATTTGGCTATGGACTATGGTGCAATTCACACAACAGAATCTCTTGATGTTAAGGTAGGGCACTCTGACTGGCTAAACAAGGCTTTTTATGAGAAACATAAAGATCAAAGGAAACTCTAATTGAAATTAAAATCAATATTCATTAAGACATCATATTCTATAACATTTATGTAAACCTCAGTATTCCATCAGGGTTTAGACTGAATTGAAGTTCAGCTACATTCAGATTTCTGAACCAGACATACATTGCCCTTTTAAATCAGTCTCCTATGGTGAAAGCAAACAGCTTATCTGTCCTTCAAAAGATTTATTCTTTTCACAGTGGCTCCCAAATGGTGTTATATGAGACACAGGAGATGTAATGGTATGTGCCTGAAACTGGTATTTGTTTAAAATGGGTTGATTCAGTGTATGGGTTTGTTTTTGTTCAGTGACCTTTACAGTAATAATTAGACTCCATCTTCTTCATTTTATTAAAGTATTCTTATTTTATGTTTGGGGGACAAAATTGACCCGACACAATTATCTGCTTATGCCAGCTGTGCTGGTGCCAAAAAAAAAAAAAAAGCTTCAAAAGGACTTTAAGATTGTGCAGAGAATACCCTGGTGCAGGAGACCTTCTGACAGAGACAGAAGGTCTCCTCAGGCAGGAGCCACTGATAAGGTGTATGTTCCCAAGGCAAGAGGAAGCATGGCTGGGGAGTAGCTGTTTGCTTTGCAGCCACATAGGCTGTATTGGCTTTGGACATTTCAGTGCAATCTGACCTGGCCCTAACTGACTCCGCTGCTTGCCATCTACTGGCAATCTCAAAAAACATGTGCTGTCCACTTCGTTCCCCGTGGAGGTCTCTGCCCTGGCACAGGGACAAATTTAGATCTATCTGTTGTAATTGGAACCTTTGCAGTTTCTAAGCAGGAGCTTGAATATCACTTGCATCTGGAGTGGCAATCCATTCAGAGCATGGGTTACAAGTAGAATATGCTCCCACAGCTTTGTCTTCTCAGAACGAGAGTAACAGCTTTCTGCAGATTTCAAGTGGCCTTCTAGATCAGATCCAGGCAGCGTTCACTGCAAGAGTGTAGCATAGAGGCAAAGCAGGTATTGATGACTAGGGTGGATCCCATATCTAAAAAGTTCCTGTCATGTTTTTCTTCTCCAATATCCCTCTCTATAATTCTATTGTTGCCATGTGTGTTGGTATTAGTTTGGCTCCTGATGCTTTTACTAATTTCCTCACAGTTGTGGGTGAACCAAGAAGACGGCGTAGAGGAAGGAACCAGCGAAGTACAGAATGGCCATTTGGATCCAAGCGCCGACTGCCTCTGTCTCAGCAGAACCCTTCAGAACCGGGACCAGATGAGAGCCAATGTAATCAATGAAATCATGAGCACAGAGCGTCACTATATCAAACACCTTAAGGACATTTGTGAGGTATGTGGAATTGTGGGGAATACTCAGTTACTAGAACAAAGAAGAATAGTGTGTGACCAGAATCCAGATATCTAGACTGTACCTGGGTGGTAGGGGAAGAGATTTGTGTCTTGTTTTTATGTTCAAGCAAAGGTCATTAAGGGACAGGATTGGCCATGCCTCCCCATTAGAAGCTAACATCAGCTTTTAGAGCAATAAGCTCCTTCGAATTATCAACAAAAAGAAAATGAGGGACAGCTATACTTTTTCATCATTTCACTAATGCTTGGGGCCTAACAATCACCAGTGATTCAAAGACCTGGAAAAATCATGGGAAATTCATATATTAAACAATAGTTTTAGGTTAATGTATAGTGTATTGCTGTTGTTTGTCATTTTTGGATCACTGACTTTATTTTATTTGGTACCCATAAAAGAAGAGATTTTTTGAGCTGTGGCCAGAGCCAGACCTGCAGTAGGCTATGAAATTCACCCATCCTCCCACAAACAACTTTGCCAGTGCACCACAATCCTATCATTCATGGATTCCCCACACATTTCTGTCAATGCAACATAATCCCCACCTGCTATCCCAGACTTAGGCTCCCCACAAAGCTCAGGCAATGAACCCTAATCCTGACACTGCTATTACAGTTCTGCATGCTGATAGAGTTCTGACTAAGCGCTTCAGTCATGACCTCCAGACCTGCCTTACCCCTTTGTGCCTCTTGTCCATTTACTTTTCTCCTGACTTACATCATCTCATTCTGTTCCAGTCCTTAGCCTCTTTCGCTGCTCCCATCCCAGGCTGAGTAACAAATCCCCATGTGTTTGCAGCTGTTGTATATGAAACAGAGTATGGGCTCCAAAGTCTTCACCAGCTGACCTAAGTTGGGTTGAACCTTCATCCCTGCACTAGTGTACTACAGTATTGTACTAACCCACTATTCTATCTAGCCTATTTACTGGAAGAGGATGGCTCATATCCAGACAACTGGGTTTACAATTCTGAGGCCAGGTTTATACTGGACCCAGAAGGTTGACTTAAGGTACGCAATTCTAGCTACATAAAAAGTGTAGCTAGAGTTGATGTACCTTAAGCTAAACATTGGCGCCATCTCCATAATGAGATGTCAATGAGAGAAACGATCCCGCCGACTTCCCTTACTCCTCACAAGAAGCAGGAGTTCCAGCACTGAAGAGGGTACCCTCAGCATTCGATTTAGCGGGTCTTGACTAGATCCACTAAATCGAACTCTGGAAGAACGACCACTGCAGCATCAATCTTCTGGGAAGTGAAGATGTAGCCTTAGATTATAAAACCAAAGGCTGGATATTAAGAAAACTCTGCTCCTTCTGAGGTAGATTGAGTTTGAATTCCAAGCACTTTAATGTGCTGAAAACATTAAAATAAAACCTTCACAACCCAGCTCCTGTGTGTTCTACATGGACATTAAAGGTCTTTTGACAGTTTTCTTGTAAAAATAGGTGGATTGCCACTTTCATTGCTCATGCCTTCCTCTCCTTATCCAGCTTGCAATGCAATGCCTGTCTCTCTCACACACACACTAGTGGTGGTTGCATATGTCTGTGTGAGAAATGTCTCTGAATAAAGGTTGAAATGTGAACTCTAAGTAACATATTTAGCTGAAAATAGAGTTTAATTTAATTAAACAGGGGACTATTAAGAAAATGTTCTGACCTTGTTTCATACCCATTCTTCTAATAAATGTCCAGATTTTTATCCTTCAGACACTCCCTGTAATTAAAACTCAGTGCCAGCTACCTCTGAATGTACATGTAAGGAAATTAGGTTGCAATTAAGCAAATTTAGTAACATTTGCTTTCATCTGGATTTCCTATTATGTTAACAACTTTCCTTTACTCAAAATGGCTGTCATTTCTTCTAATTTACAATGAGATTGAAACTACCCAATGGGAATGAAGTGATTTATGCCCTCACCATATTTTCTTACCGAGCAAATTAAATAAATGTTGTTGTTTAATTGTAATATGTACAAACTAAAGGAAACTCCAGGTGGATTGTTATTAAGGATTAAAATCTGGACACTGAGATTTTCATCCCAGATCACGTTCATTAAGATACAGCAACTGTTATCCTCAGTGTGGAGTAGTATATACAAGTCATTAATCTCCTTCACTATATTTCACACACTTTAATTATAGCCTCAGCAACAGTAGCAAATATTCAAGTTTGACACATGTATACAGGTTAAGTGTGCAGTGTGTCATGTTATAACACATGTGGTTATAATTGGAATTTTGTGTTATACTACAAGAGAGGTTAACGTGCTGTGTGCATCATGCTTCTTTATAAGCTAGAGGCCGAAGTAAATTCCTTGAGATGAGATGACATCTCTTACTATCAGAAGAAACATGCTGTGGTGAACATTAGGATATCATTAGCTGTCCCTTGGCATTTCTTTCTATTTAGAGGTTTGATGTTTTTTTGGGAGGGGAAGGTTAAGGATTGGAGATTTATAAATAGGACCAGATCCTCAGGGGATACAAATTGGTGTCACTACATTGGCTTCAGGGGAGAATTTATTGAAGATCTAGCACCCCTAAATTATAAAGTGCGTTGGTATCTGTTAGAATAAATGGTAATATAGAAGGCTGTGTCTAGACTGGCCAGTTTTTCCGGAAAATCAGCCGCTTTTCCGGAAAAACTTACCAGCTGTCTACACTGGCCGCTTAAATTTCCACAAAAGCACTGACTTCTTACTGTAAGAAACCAGTGCTTTTTGTGGAAATACAATGCTGTTCCCATTCAGGCAAAAGTCCCTTTTGCGCAAAACTTTTGCGCAAAAGGGCCAGTGTAGACAGCTGAGATTTGTTTTCCACAAAAAGGCCCCGATTGTGAAAATGGCAATCGGGGCTTTTTTGCGGAAAAGCGCGTCTAGATTGGCACGGATGCTTTTCCGCAAAAAGTGCTTTTGCGGAAAAGTGTCCATGCCAATCTAGACGTTCTTTTCAAAAAATGCTTTTAAAGGAAAACTTTTCCGTTAAAAGCATTTCTGGAAAATCATGCCAGTCTAGATGTAGCCGAAGTGTATTGTTACCATGAACTTTGTTAGGTCAATAGAGTCTGATAAACAGTCTAGGAATCTGGTTGAAATAAGAAATCAGATTCTTACTATAATAGCTCTGGAAAGGAAATTTGTTTTCCTGTGTTGCAAAAGTTTTTGAGATTTAAAAAAAAATCCGCATCCCAAATCGTGATGAAAAAGAAAAACCTCAAAAATGTTCACAAACTGAAAACCTCAAGGGGTGGATACATAACAAGTTGGAATCTAATTGTATATTTTAAGAGCACCTGTGTGTTCATCTGTCCTTGGGTCTGTTTGTTCAAGAAAAGGGAAAGGGAGGGATAGCAGGGATGGTTATACACCTGAATATTTACAGCAGGAACAGTTATATCCATGGCCACAAGGGGGCAGAGAGCATCCCAGTCTCAGTGGAGCAGCCGCTGGCCGGCCCACACACGCACACTTTACCCGCC